TAGTGTCATACCAAAAACAAGTTTAGTTAAAAAGCAGAAGCATAAAACCAGGAATTCACAGGTTTTTCTCTGCAGGGGCGACTTCTAGGAACAGCTGCAGGAACACTGTCAACTTGGTCAACAGGCCTGGCCAGAGCTTGTAATGGATAAAGGGAATGTAGATTATGACTCCACTGAAGATAAATAAAGTCACATAGAGGTACTCAATCTGAGGATTGTCTATGATGGGTGCCAGGACAAGGAATACTGCTGCAATGAGGACCAGGATGGGGATTATAATGGGAACCTGTAGGCAGAGGAAAAGAGGAGCATGACAACAAGCTGTGGTTCTCATGCAGTGTTAGGAAATGTGAAAAATGCACATGACACATACGCTGTATGGCCTTGGGAGCTGTGGCTTCCTGATCTTGAGGTAGAGGAGTCCAGACAGGGTGATGGCATAAAAAAACCAGGCAGTGAAACTGACAACAGCGATAAAGATAAATATCAGACAAGCAAAAACATGGTGTATGTTTTTAAAATAAAGAAATAATACAGATCCTGCCTTCACCTGACAAAGTTGACAATACTTTGGAAGTCTCCAGGGATTAACACCACCAGAGAGACAGCCGTGGTGAAGATCAGTGCTGGAGATGGAGTCAGCCTGTGGATGTGAGCCATGGCCAGGATATCTGGCTACAGAACAAACAGAAGTCTGGGTTCGACTCGGTGACAACAATCTTATACCGACCTATAACATATTTTTTATAAGATAATGACATTCTCACCATGTGTCCTTCTCTGGCAGCAACAAAACACACACGGCCACCGCTGAAAAATGTCCCGTTGAGTGAACCAAAAGCCGATAATGCTGCAGCAACAGACATGATCCATCCCCAGCCTCCTAAGACCTTATTCCTATAGAAAAAGATCACTAACAAGCTGCAGCAGCATCCATTCCAACTGTTAAAAGCCACATGCTACAAAGTAAAAAGCACATAATGGGACTTGGGGGCAGTTTTCAGATTTTCTTTAACATTTTAAAGGTTATTAGTGTTTTTT